GAGGAGGCTACTTATGTGCCTGGTGCACTTGGTTTGGCAGAAGTAAGCAGCATTTCGGCTATTCTGTAGCATGGCGGTCGCTTCATGGTGTGCGCTAAAAGGTACGCGAAAAGTAGAGGTAGTGTGTTTTCACACGTCTTTGCGCTGTCCTGTGCGAACACGGGTCGTTGAATTACTTGCGCCTAGATGTGTGGACGTCGGGTAATGACCGACTGCCAACTGCTCAATTGGACTGACGCAAAGACGGGGGCCTCGATAAGAGCTGCAGCATTGACCGTCTCATTAGAATGGCGAGTGGTGATGTGCTCTGTCTCACCGAAGGTGTTGAAAAAGGAAGAAAGGAAAAAAAAAAAAAAAAAAAAAAAAGAGTCGCCTGGCCATGTAGCGATGTGCTGGCAAGCACCCACTCAAGGGTCCAGGGACACCCAGCAGCATGGTCCAGAGAGCGAACAGGGAATACCTAGACTGCGGTGGCTCTGCTTCGCCTTGGCGTAAGGGGCACCTTGATGGACGTCCGAGGACTGGGTGTGCAGGGTTTGGCCCTGGAACAGAACAGTGCACGGGGCTGCTGGTGCTGGGTGGAGTTGGAGTGCATGCACTTTCCCTTCACGCCATGAGAGTCGTACGAGCTGCGCTTATTTTTTCTCTCTCATCGTCCGTTTAGTCTCCATACCATTGAACACGTCGGCGCTTTTCGTCCGCGACAAGTGGACTCTCTCTCTCTTTTTTTTTTTTTTTTCTCTCTTTTTTTGTTGTCCAGGAAATGTTTCATCGACCAACTCAATTGCTGGTGTTGCTAGCAGGGGTGCGATACCGCGGATGTTGGATTCGTGGTCCTATTTGGGTCTCTTCCAGCACTCCCCCTGCCCGAGTCGAAGAAGCTTGGCCCCAGTCATTGTTTCTCCCGTTGTCGTCTCGTCTTGTCTTGTTTCGCCTTGCCAGCTTGCGTTGCCGTGATGCTCCATGTTTGGCGTGGGGAGCGCAAGTTGGCTGTAAGCCCGGCTCTCGGGCTCCTATCCTATGGGCAGTGCCATGAGGCGGTCCAAGCGGACACGATGGATGAAGAAGCCTTTTAATTTTGGCTTGGCGCCGCCGCTGTTGTAGCTGGCAACTATGGCGGCCATCTGCCGCAGTTCGTCGGTCTCAGCCTTGTCGTGTTCATCTCATCAAATCCAAGAGCTCATTCTGTTAAACTTTGAGCTGGGTCCATGGTGCAAACATCTGCAAGACATGAAAGACAGTGCTGTGAAACAACGGCGTGTTGCAGCCACAAGCAAACCGCGCGTTCGTCTTGAATATAGAAGGCCAGCGGGGCCATGATCTGATTTTCGCGGCATTATCTTTCAGCGGCTGCACGTTTGCAGAGTGACAGCGGCGCCCGCCAGTCTTTTGCATCCCACGAGGCTCCGCTGAATAGATTAATTGGCCATTGCGCGCAATCACGGTGCGGAGTAGCGAGCGGAGCAATTTTCGCGCAGGTCTGCTCTGCCAACAGGAACGTCCCTTTGCGCCAAGCGCTCTCATGCCTGCTCTAGCTGCGTATGTATGGTGTCCCAAATTCCCCCTTCTCTTGATTCACAGGGCACACCGTCTTTACAAAGTCACGAGGACCACGGCAACAGTCCTTCATCGGGACGTGACGCGGAAACCGGCGCGACCTTCGCAGTCACAAACGGCGCGGTGGAGACGAGCGGGCTGGGGTTCGGTTCACTCGCTTGCCAGGCGGCCGAAGCTATGATTTTCGAACATGTCAGAAGTGGAAGCGGACAGAAGATCGGCCGTGGGGGGAAGGGGGGTTTGCATGCCCGCCAAATTCCATGGGCGTCGAGGTCCGTGGAGCAAAGAAGTCGAAGGTCCGAAGTGGAAGCGGAGTGCCGACACACGATTCGCTCGAGTGGGACAGGGAGGGAGACGCGGAAGGAGCTCGGGCCGCATGGACGCTTCGGCATCCCGTGTGGCGGTGCAGGGTCGACCACTGATGCTATTTTTGTCTCGCCTCTCCTTGGCCGCTACCACTCAACCTCGAGTTGCAAATATTACTGCACCGCCAAGGTCGTATTATTTTCGCGCTTCTTGGGGTCTATCTTGACCTCCAAGTCGTGTTTTGACCGAAATGATGCCACCCTCGACACCCTTTTGGAGCTCTGCACGTGGCACAGAAGCCGACAGGAACGCTCGACGACCCCCGAGCCGCAGGTACCGTCAATCGAAAGCGGCATAAGGGATGAGTGCCTTGCTACAGGTCTCTGGGCATGTGAAAAGGGGCACTCGGACACTCATGACGTACACGGAGACCGTTTCGAGATAAGACATGGTGACAACATCGTGCTGACACGAGCCAGTTGATATGGATCCGAGATGCGCATAACCAAGGTTGGTGTTGAACTTCAAACAAGAGCCAGGCGACGTATACCAAAAGGGTAGGTCGGTTGACAGTGGACGCCGGTCAGTCACCAATGACATCACCCGTTTCTTCTTGAATTTTTGGTTTGCGCAAAACAAGGACACGGTGAGTTGAAAATAGTTCAGTGGTCAAAGTAAGTGGCGAAAGCGTATGTCAGGAGGAGAAGAGTAGGATGATCAAGACATGGGGCACTAGAACCCTTTGCCGGCACGTCCAAATTCAACAGGGCATGGTGCTTGGCTGTCTCCATTATCTTTACGACATTTGTCAAGACGGGGACAAAGCTCTGTATTCCAAAAGAGACCTCAAATCATTTGCATGCCCGGTTTGTCACGTTCCCCTCCTGATCGTAGCATCACTGGCTTCTAACGAACTCCCAAGACAAGCAACATGAAATTTTCTGTCAACATCTTCCATTTGATGATCTCTCGATGGTACATTTTTCTAATTCCACTAGAGACCTGATGTTACTGTGATCTCCGACGGTACAGTCTACCACAAATCCTTCAGATGCTTGATGCCATTATACATCTTTTAGAGTAACTTCTATTTGTAGACCGAACCGTCTTGCAGAAGTCAGTATTTGGCCGACGGGATCATTAACACTAGAGAGAGGTGCGTTTCAGAGCCCATGATAGTACTACAAGGGGGTGGCTGTTTCCACGGTGAAAAACTTTATCCTATATTTCAGAATTTCGTTGATTTCACGAGCTACGCATAGACCTGGCCTTCACCTAGAGTTCAAGGCTTGGTGGAAAAAAAAAGTCGTGGCACACATAAATATGGGTTCCCGCGAACCAGGCCTCAAATGCTCCTTATTACCTTCCATCATAGACACAAAGAGAATCTATCCGCGTGTTTGAACGCTCTTTATTACTGCCCGCCACAGATATATAGATAGTCTATTCCTACATATGAATGCTCCCAGTCTGCGCTCTACCGCGCAGTGTTATGAGTGCCACGACTTTTGTCACTAAGCCTTGGTTTGGAAGAACAATCTCAAATAAGAGTCCGAAGCCTAGTAACACAATTTGTTGCTCAGAATAGACAGACACTCATATCTCTCGACAGGAGATGAGTACAAAATATTTGACTACTTGAGGAATTCATATAAGGAGCATTCAAGTTCTTCTCGGGAAAAGGAGTGCGTGTGCCTTGACCTTTTTTTTTCCCCCCCAATAGCCTTTGCAAGCAGATCGATCTCGTGCATATACACGATCATGCGCAAACCTCCAAACGACGGAATGGAGATTTCTTTGTCCAATGTCAGAGGAATGTCAATAAATGCCACCGCAAAGCTTGAAGTCGAGAAGATGGTGCGCAGAGGGCAAGACGAGCCGAAAAAGGTAGGCGCAATCGCTTAATGTTGCCCTGCTGATCGACCAAACGCCCACCGTCACTCTTCTCCTACCCGGACCGCTACTGACCGCTACTGCCTGGCCTCCATCAACAGCACCACGCATCCTCCTCAAACACTACACAAGGCGGACCTGAGAAGGCAAAAACAATGACGACCCCCCTGGATCGTCTCACTCAATCCAGAGTATTTCTCCCTTCCTGAACCGCCGCCAACTTCCATGACCGCTATCCTGCTGACACGCCCCCGTTCTAGGGAGCATTCCTAAGTAAATGACCACCACCACCACCATCTTCTTGGCCACCAGCTAGCCAACCAAAAAGGAAAAATCACAAGCATTTTTGGGCTGACGAGACTTCCTACCCGCACGCAGCTTTCGCGGGCATCATCACCGCAACCACGGCATGGATGATCTGGGGCAACGGCGACATCTTCCCGCGAGAACCCGATCCAACCGGCGGTACGCACCACCTCACCTACCTTTGATATTGTTCTTTCCGATGACACAACAACAACGCCCAAATCAAACTCAACCCTAACCCCCAAATCAAAATTGACACCCGCCCTCCCTTTCCCTTTCCATCTGCACGGATATCAGATCGATCAAAAAGGTGCGCTTCGCTAACGCTGCATGCCTCATTTCTCCAGATCCGGAGGAGTGGACCGTCACGGCGCTGAAGAGATGGTTGAACAATGTACGTGTCACGCCGTTGGCGAAGTCCGGGTCCGAGTGGTCCGATTGCGTTGTTGCTAATCAGTGCTGCCACCACGCCACAGCGCAATCTCTTGCCCAACCATGAGGCGTCAAGGGCCGAGTTGGTCGAGCGCGTCAAGGCTAACATGCGGCCGCCTCCTAGGCGGTAGGAGAAGGGAATGCGGCGCCGGCAAATGGACAGACAGACAGACGGACAGAAAGCTGGCCTGCTTGGCTGAACGAATGAAGTCTTTGGATAAATGCGAGCTCGAAGAATTAAAACTGTGTGCTCACAATGAAAGAGAGAGTCCTTTGTTTATCCGACTGACGGACTGCTGCTGTCTTCTTGTGTGTCGCCAACCATGGCATTCTTCGCCCCACGGCAAACATGCTGCTCGCTGCTCGAAGCTTCAGGCCAGCGCCGTCCTGCGTCGCTCTTTCCAGACACCCACCCATCCAACCAACAAAAAGAAAGTGCATTCCCAAATCCCTCTGTCACTACAGATCGTATGTCCTGATGACAAAATTGCAAAATAGATGACAAAAGGTCCTACCCGGGATCGAACCGGGGTTATGGGAATGTTCCTGGCTGGAGACTCAGAATCCCATGTGCTAGCCACTACACTATAGAACCTTGAAAAAGTTAGTCACAAATTTCTTATATAGATTGCATCAATTTTCGGAGTTTAGAAACCGGTCTTGACGACGCCGGGAATGTGGAGGAGAGATGTCTTGAAACGCCTTCTCAATGATCTGAAAAAGAAAATTCAGATCTGTCGGCCCGAGAGCGGTGCGGGCGAGACGAGGGTTGAGCCGGCGTGTGAGGATGCAACTCCAGACCACCAACCAACCATCACGACAATCACAGACAAGCGACACAAAGAAAACGCATGATGCCTGACAATCTGGAGATATGCCGCTTCTATTTGTCTGGGACCAGGTATACAGAGAAATAAAGAAAGTACCATGGCGTTAGCCGCCACCAGCAGCAACATGTTCAAATTGCCCGCTTGTCTTCCCAGAGAACCCTTTTCCAACGCCAACCCGTTCGTCCAGTTGCTTTCGTGTAGAGACAGAGAAGAAAGAAGGCGCATGGGTAAAGGACGAATTCGCTGAACGCTGCAATCATCGGCGACCAGCGCGCTCAAACTGGGAAAAGAAGAGAGAAAGATATGGCGGTGTTTGTGGAAGCGACGCAAACACACCACCGATAGGACAGAATCAAGCACCTTCTTACTTGCCAATCCAGATTCTAGGCTCCGCCAGGACCGACTTGGCCCGCTTGATGTGGTCGCGAGCACCAATTCCGTCCAAAGCCTTGACGAGCCTCTCCCTGGCACCATCGAACCGCACGGCGCTGTCGACCTTGCGTTCAACCTCTCCCTCGACGGCCTCGACGCTGCTCTTTGCCTGCTCCTCTAGCTTCGTCTTTTCGTCTTTCGAGAGCCCGTCGACCGTCGCCTTGTCGACCTTCATGACGCCCTCTTTGCGCCGAACCTCCCTCGTCACATCCCCGTTCTTGCAGATCAGCAATGCTAGCTCCTGAGTCCATGCCTCGATGCCTTTCGCTACGCCATCTAGGACCTTGGCCTCTATCTCTCCACGCGGGATCTTTTCTTTAGCCAGCTCCTCCAGCGCGCTGGCAACTGAAGCCATCCATTCTTCGGCCTTAGAACGGCTCAGGTCAACCCACTCGCCACAACGCAGATCGATGCCCTTTGCTAGCTCGAGCGCTTCCTTGGATGCACGCAACGCCGCCTCGGCTTGCGCATGTCCAAAGTGCGATTCGAGTGCCTTGAGCTTGGCTTGGTCGCCCGCTGCATTCGCTGGCGCAAAAGCAGAGCGTGCATACCGACCATCCCGGGCAGATACGGCAGCGGCAACGAGCGCATGGCGAGCTGCAAGAAACGAATGAATCGAGCAGAGAATTTTGGCGCAAGTGGAAAGTGTCGGTGGATTGGCCGAGTACGAATCTGCTGATGTGGAGGTTGTCGACGCCTCCGCCGCGGACGAGTCCTTTTTAAGACGCTGCTCGGCAGCCGTGGCAGCGGCGTCTAGCTCCTCGAGCAGCTGCATAGCCACGCCAATTTCGTCGTGCAGGCGGGCGTACGACTTTTCAAAGACTTGCGTGGCATACTCCTCATAGAGACCATGCTCCTCGTCCTTGATTCTCGCGGCCTCGGCCTGCTTCTCGTCCTTTTCGCGTTCCTTCAACTGAGCAAAAGTGATTTCGTTGTCGTCGAAGAGTTCGTCATTGAGGCGAGAGGCCTTGTCTTGTCGCTCTTGCCGCTCAGCTTCAAACTTCTCACGCTTGTCCCTTTCTTGGTACCCAAAGGCGAGACGGATGGATCTCAGAAATGGCTCAGAATCCGGAATGGCAGACAGAGTTGAGTTGACGTGGTGCACAAGAGGGTGTTCATCTGGGTTTTGGATTCCTGGCAAATTCTCCAGCAGCGATTTGAGACGCGACATGATCGTCTCTGTCGCGGGAGAAGAAGTCGGTGGCTTCGATGACGGTCCAGGTGTCGAACACTTGGGTCTTGGTGCTAGCGGCATTGGAAACATGTTGCTGGTACCCTCGTCCATGTTCTCTGGCGAAGCCACAAACGCACGAAGTGGTTCCTTTGAGCTCTGCCCAGTAGTTTCAGACTCAAGCCCCTTATGCTTGAGCGGAGACGGAGCCACAGTTGACGATTCGTCAAACTTGGAGCTTGTTGGTGTTGCAACAGGAGGTTGACTCGAAGTCTCGCTGTTGGCAGCTGAATTGGCGTTTGTATTCCCGGTTGATTTCGAGGACTCAGCAGGCCTGTTCGCTCCAAAAGGCGGCCGGGGAATGATCGGTCTTCCACCGGGACTGTACTCCTCGTCGTCTTCGTCGATCCGTTCTATAGGGGTCGTGGGAATATCCAGAGTGGTTTTTGGACCGCGCTGTCCATGAATGGAGTTCTTCACCATTTCGCTTTCGTGAGAGCGCGTCTCTGTGTGCCCTACATCCGAACTACCATCATCGAACCTAAGAGACTCTTCCCAAGGGATGGGGAGGTTGCGGAGCTCCGACTCGTACATGACGAACTCTATGAATGCTTTCCTCTTGTCTGGGCCATCTGGCGCAAAAGACTCATCCCTTAACGCCTGGATATAGCTGTCGAGAGAATCTTGATACCAGTCATCAAGATCAGGAATGACATCTTTGGCACGGAGCTTTGGAGCCGATGGCTTCGGGTTCAAAACGGACGGCTTTGGTCTCGGACTCCGCGAAGCCTCGTCCCGTGCAGCCTGAAGGGCAGCAATGGTTGGCTTTGGTGACAAGGTCGAATTCGGCACAAGCTTGCTCGACTCTACACCAGGCACTGTTTTTGTACTTGCGCCTAGATGGTTTGCCCGGTCCGTAGGACTTGGCTTAGCCTCCATCACCCCCGGTGGTTGCGCCTTCGTTTTTGGATTGGCAGACGATTGAGCTTTCTGAGAGCGCAGCAGCGAATCAGGTCCCTGAGATGAACCATTCGCGACCGGTTCAGCTGGAAGCTCATGCATGACAAGTCCATCCTTGCCGCCACCTGCAGTTTTAATCTTGCCGAAATAATCATTGGCTGGCAGCTCAACAGGCCCCTTGTCATACTTCTCAGAGTCTTCCACGTCATCGGCTGAAGGTGTTGGTGCATAGTATTCCCAGTCAGAGGGAGCACCTGCACCGAGGGCCGATGAACTTGTTCTTCCCTCTGTTGCTATCGACGAAGTCCTTTGTGATCTTTCGCTCGATACGCTCGAAACGCTGCTGCCACGAGCAAGCCCCTTCTTGAGGGAGAATGGTGTCGGTGAATCTACCAGTGGTGATACTGGTCGATTCGAATTGGATAGACTCTTGCGCCGTCTGGGAAGATTAGGTGACATGCCAGAGGACCCAAAGCTGGGTGCACCAAAGCTCTGTCGTCTTTGTCCAGGAGACGAAGAGGGCCGCCCGTCATAGTCTTGAAGCCTCCATGCGGCAGGATTGGGAAAACTTGACGTCTCAGGATATGGCAAAGAGTTTGAGCTGGTGGCAGTCGTGCTGGGAGAAGTCGTTGGGATTGACATGGATCCAGAACGAGCATAATTGCTCTGCTGCGAAGCAGATGAGTTCACAAGACCTGGCTGCGGTTTTGGAACGCTGGCTCCGTTTGAACCAGATGATATGCTGTGACTGGAATGGTGCCAGTGATTTTGTCTCGACGAGTTCGAGTTCGAGTTCGAATTATTGGAACCCGTTCTGTGAGCATGGCGTCCAAGACCATCAGCAATGTCGACCGGCGAGCCCACAGCATACTCCGAGGCAGGGGGCGCTTGACCAGGCTGAGCGTATTCGGGCACGTATTTGGACTTGCTACGGGCTGGAAGTGGAGGCTTTGGGGGGTGATATTGTGCAGAAGCGCCGGGGGGAGAGGGATCGGAATTGTAGTACGGATTCGTACTGCTCGAAATCTCGGAGTTGTAAGGTGCCGGCTGATGTTGCAGGGTGGAATGCCTATTGGGAGCCGCAGGTCCATTCAATGCGGGAGGATAACCTTGATGCTGTTGGGAAGATGGCGCACTTGGAATTGTTGCAGCATGCGTGGGCTGATTCAAGGTTTGAGATCTTGCGGGTGGATAAGGTGGAGGTGGTGGATAGTTTGTGCCCGTGGGCGGACTGTGTCGAAAGGGCTGACCTACGGCGGCGCTCGTTCTGTTCCAGTTGCCTTGTTGCGCCGCATAGTGTGGTGCGGAGGGCTATATTTTGCAGAGCAGAATTAGCAAATCAGTCAGATGCCGTCATGTGGGGATCATATTACTGGAGCTTGGGGCACTGGTTGTTGAAGAGAGCCTTGTCGATATGACTTGACATTGTAGGCTGGAGCACCAGCATGGTGAGTTGGAGGATGTGGTGGAGGAGGCGGCATTGGAGGCGGACGAGGAAGATCAGCGCGACCTCGGACATGCGGACTTTGGCCATGATAGGGATCTTGTATTGGACCTTTCAAGCTGATAAGTCTTGTGGACTCGGGAGCTGCTAGCGCCATGTTTTGCTGCGATATACCCACCTCCATTGCCCGGAGCTGTAGCAGCCCTCACATTGGAGTATGCAGCAGCCGGCTGTTGGTCTGAAGTCTGCACATTCCCATAAAAGGGTTGCATGTCGATGACGACGAGTTGCACGGCTGGGAGCGCAGCTTGGGCTCCAGGTCGACGAGGCAGGGCGGCCGGACTGATGCGGGGAGATGGTTCGCGATGGTACAGGAAGCTATGTCGAGGCGAGTCTCAGAAAGGAAAGTGTAGGGTGGAGACAGCGAGGACCGGACGTCAACCAAAAGCGCAAAGGCAGAGATCAACGAGGCACAGGAAAACGGCAGGAAGTTGGCAAGATCAGATTGCTGCCGTCCGGACTACAAAAGTCAGCGACAGGTGACGTACCTTAGCGCGGGATGGATGTTAGACCAACCTTCTTGAAGCTCTTGGCCGCGGGTACCGCGACTCGGGAAAGAAAAAAGAAAAAAAAAAAAAAAAAAAAAAAAAATAACAAGCAAAGCCAAACAATGATCGAGCTGTTCAGCAGCTCTTCAATGCCGTACTGCAACGGCTGGGCTACTACTATATTATTGTATTTGTGCAAGGCCAACTTGT